TTTTTTTTTTTTGTGAGGGGTATTGAATTCAGTGTCCTGTACAGGCGAGGCAAATGCTTTACCACTGAGCTATACCCCCAGTCTTAGCTGAGTTTTAAAGAATTGAAAAGAACAATCTTGTATTTCTAAGGGTGAATAAAGTCACTCTGCATCCAAAGCACTGTCAAAAGATATGCCCAGGTCTGGGATGCAGCTTAGAAGCAGAGTGCTTGCCTAGCACACGAAGAAGTATAGGGGGTTGGGGATGCTCCAAAGTATCTTATGGAAAAATTTAACTTTTATTTTATAAATACAGAATAAACATGTACAGAAAATACTGCTATACTCTCAACATTGGTGGTTTTACTTAGGGAGAGGAAAGGAGTTACATTAAATTTTGAATAAGGACCCAATTATGTTAATACTGGTTGAATTATTCTGGGGAGGGATTTTAAATTCCCTTCTTTAAATTATAATGGGACAAAGGAGAGGCCCCCTTATCTAATTCTCCCCTTTGAGCAAATAACTACAAAAGACGGGCTCAGGAAACATTATAATGAAATGTAATGTGAATCCACCCAGGGAAGTACAGAATTTGCAGCCTCATTATAAAGAAACTTCTAGTCATCTAAGTGGCAGGGGAAGTAGGGTCTGTGGTTGTTCAACCCCAGGGCTGTAAATGCCCCAAGCATACTGTTTACTGATCCCAATGGAAGAACTTGGAAGACTCGATGGAGAGGTTTTGGGCATTTTATTACTTACTCACCCCTTGGTGGAAGCAGGCCTGGTAACATAGGGCTCCACTGTGCCTATCAGCAGTGGGAACATATGTAGGTTTCATGCCATCGTGAAGGTGGGTTTCTTCAGATGTTTTATGAGTACATTCGTTTACCTTATGACCAAGGTCACTCTGTTTAGATTCTCTCCTAAGATTAGAGATAAGGGGAGTGGCCAGCTTCCCCTAGCCCTTATCCCTGACCACATTATTTTAGAGACCTTATCTCACTGCAAGCTTCCCTAGGCACGGATTAATGTTTAACCCAACAGTGGTGGAGAGTAAAGAGGATCCCTCTGAAAAGTCAGAGGGATGGAGAAGAGACTTAAATCGTCCCCAAACCCAATGGCTGACAACAGCAGTTCTTTGTCTTGCTCTTGTGTCTGGTGAATTGCTGTGGAGTGGAGTTGGGGGGAGAGTTTTTGGCAGGAGGATTTGGATTGGGATTGGGGTTGTGCCACATGCTTAATTCTGGAGTGTGGGGAGGTGGAGGGTGCAACTCTTTCCTTGGAACGATCTTTTCTACAACTGCAAGAGCACAAGAGGCTGGACAAACCATGAGAACATATATGAAAAAAAAACACAAAGAATTTTCCTAAAGTTTCTCCTTTTGTCCCATCTACTGACATTCCATTAACCAAAACAAGTCATGAGATCAAAGCTCATCCTTAGTGTGATGGGGATAATAGACCTTGTCTACTGCAGTGCTCTGGAAGATCACATGACAGAGGGAGAGGGTAAGGAATTGGGAATAAAAACTTGTTCTACCACAGGAAGGAAAAGGAGTTTTGGGTAGTGCTGAGAGCTCCCTTACTGTATTTTGGAATGTGGAAGTGCAGAGAACTTTCTCTAGAAGAATTGTGGGAGAATTAACTCTAATATGAAGCCATGAAATACTAGTGGTGGAACACAAGACCTCTCTTTATTTCCTCTTCCTCTATTCCTTCCTTTTCCTACCTGGGAACCCTCCACTGAGACATAGGTATTGCTAAGAGCCAAGTATATGATGCATGGCATTTTTGGTGGAAAGGTG